CTCCTTGGCTTGCTGCTCTGCTTCTGGCAAGGGAGAAGAGAGAGCTGTGGTTCAAACAGTGGCCAAAGGCTCAGATCACACTGGGTTTTGTTACTCCCACGGTGAATGGGTTAAGTCCCACCTGGAGAAACCAACTTCCTTCTTTGGACTCCACCTGCCAGCTTTGAGCACAGCTGTACTTAACTTCAGAAGGTGATTTGGAGCAGGATCCCAACTTAAATGGGCTGAATTGCCTTTTGAAGTTGACTCTGCCTTAAGTCTGGATGAAGACAAACCTCTAACTTTGCTGGTTGAGGGAAGTGCATGCAAAGGAGTGGTGATTTACAGTCTGTCAGAGCTTCCTTGCTCCCACTGTAAGGTACCAATCCTGGCCATTCCTTAAATGAAGCTCTTTGTGGGACAGTCTGTCTCTCACTGTGTGATTTCACTGTGCTTGCTGCCCTGACTGGGGCAAGGGAGCATTACCCAGTGCTGCTGCAATACAAAAAAATCCCTCAGTAGTATTAAAGCTGAAGGCCTCAGTGAATTAGCCACGGTAACCTCTACAAATGACTCCAGATTTTTGCCAGCTGAGAGGAACCAGAGCTGCAGGTGAGGGCACACATTCTCCCAGTGTCCTGTCTCCAGCTGGAGGGGCTGGGACTACTTGGCAAGGTGGGAGTTCCCAGCTGGCAATGTGCTGAGGACACACACCTTTCCTTTTCCACGGGTGTCTTGCAACTGAAATCATGTTAGCAAAAGGTATTTGCTGGTGAGAAAGAATATCCCCTTTCTCATTCCTGCACTGTCTGCATATGGAAGCACAGGTATTGATAGCTGTCAGAATGCTCACATGCTGTCAGGCACAACATCAGGGATGAAGCTCAGACCAGCAAGGAGGAGGGTATGAATTCATGGTGTCACCCTACAATCTCCCACGGCCTTTGTGCTGCCATTTGGTGTTTGCTCTGCTGGGCTGGTAATCCCTGTTTTATTCACGGGAAAAGTGCTGCTGGGAACTCAAAGCAGAGTCACCAGTGGAATACCAGGCACCTCCTGCCTGACTCAGCCCAGGAGTCACCCAGGGCCACGAGGTTACTGCCTGAGCCACTTGACGACAAAAAAAACCTGGATCAGGAAAATTGCAGAGTCAGTGGCGGTAGGAGATGAGGAATTTCCGCATTGCTCTTCTGGTTTTAAAAGCACTTTCAGCCCTCACCCATGTTAACACCTTCTGGCACCCTAGATTTGCTGAACTTATCCAGGAAAGAATGGGTTTACTTATTTATTGATAATTCAAGTACCTCAAATATTGACCTAAGCTGATAAGGCCTGTGGTCATTCTGTTTGCTGTATTTTAGCACTGAATGTGGCTTGTTTAATCATCATTGTTGCTTAATACTGAAACTCATTTTGAGTGCAGCATTTTTCTTGGTTGAATTTATATGTTTCTCTACTGAAAAAAAACTTGCATTTAGCCCTAAGAACCGAATCATCCACCCCTGGTACAATTATCTTTGTTTCAATGTAAGAAAATAATGAAGCAAGAACTTAATCAGCTCATTACATTGAGCCCTTACCTATCAAATATACAATTAAATTATTATGAAATGGATCTTCTGCTTTGCATCTTCAAAGCACTTAACAGTTAGTGTTGAATCACTGTTGAGGGGGCAGGGGGGTGCTTTATGCAGCAGAGACTGCACTAAAAGCTTGGACATTTGTTTTCTTTTACAGACAACTGAAAATGCAAGTATAAACTTCATGGGATTTTCAGTAGTCCCTGTTTTGGGGGGCTCGGTATATTTGGTGGAGACATGATGCATTTGGAGCTCATTTGATTAAAAAAGAGGGTGTTACTGCCCTCCAAAAGGAAAGCTTTGTCTCAGGTAATCCTAGAAAGTGAACCAGAACTGGATGTATTTTAAGCTGTTAGAAGAAGATGTCGTTCTGCAGCTGTACCACAAGAGGGTAGTTCAAGAGAGCCTGAAATGTGTGCAGGTTGATGGGATGGCTCTGCTGTTTTGGGCAAGGTGAATGCAGCAGTAAATTATTTTTATGAGAGTCTGATCTGTGAGGAGCTCTCCTGGCCCCCTGCATAAATGACAGAAACCCCAGCAGTGCTGTGGCAGGCACTGATCAGGTTGATTACGGAGTGACCTTGCTTTATCACATTTAATACAAGGCACTGGAAGTGGTCCATACCCAGAGCATTCAGCTCAATAAAGGCAATTGTATTTTGGAGAGTTAGGCTTAAATTGCACAGTGCTACAGTCCAGCAAGAAAGCACATTGCTTGTGTTAAGGGAATAAAAGATGCTTCCCTATAGCAAATAGCCTGTACAGTATGAGTTAGTGTGTGTTGGACTCAGTGATCCTTGTGGGTCCCTTCCCTCAGGATATACTATGATTCCATTCTATGAGCTCCTTAAAGTCTCTGCCTTTAGTGAGTACATCCATCTGATTTTTCCATTGCCTGGCTTTTGAAACAATTAGCCAAGGTCTAAGCAAGAGAACTGCTTCCTTTGGAGATGGGCGAAAAAATTGATGCCAAATTTCCTAAGAAGAGAAATAGTTTATTTACCATCACCGGAACTGTCTGCTTAACACCAGCAGAAAGCTTGGTCCTGGTTTTTACCTTTTCTACCCTATTTGCCTTTGTCACGTCAGTGAAGAGCCAACATGGATCAGGCTCCCCAGGGCAATGGGCACAGCACCGAGGTTGCCAGAGCTCCAGGAGGGTTTGGATGATCCTCTGGGGCACAGGGGGGGACTCTTGGGGCTGGGCCTGTGCAGAGCTAATGATTGGACTCAATGTGGGTCCCTTCCTAGCTTGGCATATTCTGGGATCCTGTGATTTCCCTGATGCTGTGCTCCCCCTCCTGACTCTCCCAAGGGGCTGCCTGAGGAGCAGCAAGGCATGGCCCCACATGCCCTACTGCTGTCAGGCCTGGCTGAGGAACACAACGGGGTTGGAAGAGCCTTCATCCCCCTCCTCACATCGCCTGTCCCCAGACTGGCCATGGCAAGTACCTGGAAATGCATCCGTCCCCATGGGCACAGCCTGGAGTGTCTGACCAGGAGCCTTCGGGAAGGGTGGCAGCCCCTCACCACCTGCTCCCAGGGCACTTGGGAACACTGGGGAGGAGAACTGAGCTCTGCCTCCTCACAGCCGAAATCCGGGTGCCCAGCTCTTCTCCCCTGGGAGCCACAACAGTGTTTCCACAATCCTGGCAGTGAGGTGGAGCGCGACGCTGAGGAGGGGATGGGCTCACAGGGGCACCTCAGCACCCTGGCCATCCACACCCCAACACCAGGAGGGCTGCCCCGGCAGCACCAGGGCTGGGGGACTGCAATCCCTGCCCAAAGGCAGAGCTTGACGTGCCCCATAGCCCTGATGATCGTGTCTCATCCGCCTCGCAGCGTTACCGCCGGGGCTTGTTGTCAGCGGAGTCATGCTATGATAGTCATTATGGTTTTAAATGACTCATTTTCCACTTAACTGTATTACTGTGGCTTACAGAGCATCTGGAGCTTTGCAGCAGTAAATACATCACCGAATGCTACAGCAATGTACTAATCTGTTGCTCTGAAGAATCTTTTTAGCGAAATGCAGCCGGAGCGGGCAGGTGTGTCTGTGCCTGTGCCGGCCAGCCCAGCTCCCTGGGGCACCTGCCCTGCACCAGAAAGGGGTAGAAACGTGGCTGATGGTGACCTGTTGGCACAAACTGTTTTAACATCTTTAGTACAATTTGATGACACCTCGATTTGGCGATGAGATTCTTGTCAAGACGCACAAGACCCTGCGCTGGCGCTGAGGCGGCTGGGTCTGTGAGGTGCTGGTGTCTCGGGGAACGCCGTAGGTCTTCTCTCATCATCCTGACTGGAAGGACCCCCTCTCTAACATAAGGAAGGACTCTTTATATTGTATTTATTATGGGTTTTTTATGCTTTCTCTCCTCAGCGGGAGGCACGGCGCGGGATGGATCTGCAGAGGGCAGTGTGGGAGAGGGAAAGCCCGGCCAAGATGGCGGCGGGGCGGGCGCGCTCGGGCACTAGAGGGAGATGGCGGGCTGCCGCTCGAGGAGCTCTCACATAGCCAAAAATACGACTTTTTGGGGGCTGTTTGGGTGTTTGACTCCCAAATGGACCCCCCCCTGCCCTCAGCTCTTGTGCCGGGCTGCAGAGAGGCGGCAGCCGGCGCCCCTGGGGCGGCCGCGCCTCGAGCTCTGCACAGATCTCAGCAGCTCCCGCTTCTTATTTTAGAGCCGTGAGGTGCTGGGGGGGGAAGAGTCTGGTGGGGAGTTATTTTGATAAAGGCATCTTGAGAAACATCTTGAGGAACGCGGCAAGTTGGAAGTAAAGGCTGGGGAAAAAAAAAAAAAAACCTGCACTGTCTGTGAGTTCATGTGTCGCCTGAGGTGATGGAAAAATGAAGTGGGAAAAGGAGCAGGTGCGACAGACTGGGGTTCGCATGTGTTCATTTACTTGTCATAAAAACAGGCAGCAAACGCTTTGCTTTCTCCGCCAGCTCCTCGGAACGTGGTCCCTGGTGCCCCCAGCCCTCGGGAGGACAGACTGGCAGCGGCAGCAGAAATGCCAGGGAAGGTCAATGTGGTGGTCGGCAGCGCCACGTAAACCTGGTTAAAGAATTAAAGTGAAATAAATGCCTGTTTAGGGAAAGAAGTGCCCAACAAGTCCTCTCTTTTCAGATTTTTGCCACCCATATTCACCTTGTTGCCTCTTCCCCAACAGTCTGTGTAATTTCTTACTTTGAACTAAAAAGAGGGCAGGATGCTGGGGAACAAGAGAAACCCCTTTAGTAGTTTCTTTTCTTCGCCAAAGTTGAGTTTCGTTAGAGAAACATCGGTGTCTAAACTCAGACAGGTTTGGGTGAGAAAAGTTGGTTTTCCCTGAACACCATCCTGGTGTTTCTTCAGGCGGCTGCACGTTTTACAATTGTATTTCAGAGCAAAGGACTTCAGGTTTGATTTCTGTTCCAGCCTGCTGGGGAGCCTTAAGATGAATATTAAGAATCTGTGCTGTGCCTTTGTTTTTTTCACTGTGATAAGTGATGCTTTTCTCCCTGCCCTTCCCTCCTGCCTTGTCTCTTGTAAAGAACTTTTATATCTGTTATTAGGAATTCTGTAAGCGAGGTTTCATCATGCTCTTTTTGTTTTATTCTTTTTTTTTTTTTCTGCAGTAAAATTTTCTAATACCCATTAGCAATGCATAAATCTATTCTGGCAGATTATTTAGTTTTATCTTTAGGTTGGCTTGAATTTGGAGGAACTACAATCAAAGTGGGCATTGGATTTTAAGAACTGTTCTATAATGGCTGCAACAGCTCTATATCACTGCAAATTCTGAACTCCATGAACTTGTTCCCTGTTTCTACAGCTTGGCTGAGTAAACTTTGCTCTGAATGGCACCATGAGTGCTTGATGAAGCAGAGAACAGTCTATTTCCAGCATATCTAGCACAGAGTGGGTGGATCTCTGACTAATTGATAATCTACATGAGTTTCTATGAAATTCTGGAATCTAGATTACTGTGGGATCAAACTGGACTTTGTTTTTGTTCCTGTACCTTTGACAACTTTCTCCCCAAATGTGCAGAACTGAATTTGCCTGACACTGAAGGGCTGAACCGTGAATGTCCTTGACTTTGACTTCCAAAATACCTGCTGCATTTTGGTGTGGCAACTCAGCACTTCACTGAACCTGGGAATCCAACTGAAAAATAAGAAGACAGCTCTGCAACACCACACCTGTTGGTGATTCGTGCTTTTGATTTTGTTTTTAAATGCATCCCATCAGTGAAATTTCCCACTTAGCTCATCAAGACAGCAAAAGACCCTCACAGATATATATTGGGATGGGGGACAAAAGACAAAATGTGATGTTTCAGTGTAAAATAGCAGGATTTTCTTTCGTCTAGAATACTAGATGAGAGTTTTGGCTCTGTGAAGGAAGGTTGGTTTGCTGGTATCTTGTGGGTTTTTGGCAGGTGGTTGACTTCAGGAAGTTCAGATGGATTATCTGGAAGGCACATACAGGGTTAGTACCTCTGTAATATCTGGTGGGTATGAAAGCAGTGCCTGAACATTAGCCTGGGGGAAGATGTTGTGTGGGGGTATTTCTGCTTTGGAGAAAGGGACAGAGGATGGTCTAACTGGGAGATAAACAGGAGGTCTAAATGAAAGTTAATGGAAACTCAGTTGCAAAATAAAAAGGTTTTTTTTGTGCATTTCTGAATTTGCAAGTCTTGGAAAGACAGAGGCTGATGATACCTGTGAATCTTTTCTTCCTGTAGGTAACTGAAGACCTGTTGAAGGTAACAACAAACTCTCACTGCTGAGCCTCAGAGAAATCCCAGGAGTTCCTGAATTTCTCACAGGTGTGAGAACATTTATTAGAGACATTACTGGAAGAGTTAGGACAAAATCACTTATTTTGGTTGGTTTAGTAAAGCTGAACAGGCACCAGGTTGGGGTTGTGGAGCTCTTGCTGCCTCTGCAACTGAGTGGGAGACTCTCAGGTTTACATAGTTTACCCAATATCATAATGAGCCTGGTATTCCAAACTTCTCTGGGGATATTATCCATTGCATCATATCTCCATCCTGTAGATCTATGGAAACAGTGAACAAGAGAAGTCATTCTTCTGGGTGGAGAATGCAACTCTCCTGATAACTTTAAAAGACAAAACAGGAAGTGTTGTTTTGAAATGTTTACCCAGGATGAAGTAATGGTTCCTAATGCCCCAGCACAGCCACAGCCTGGGGTTGTTTGCCACAGGGCAGACAGGGACCTGGGACCATGCCAGCTTCAGGAGGCAGAGTTCAGGCTCTCTGTGAATCCCAGGGCATCTTCCTGAGCAAGCCAAGCCAACAAGTGGGTCTTTGCAGTAATCGGACTTTCTGGTTCCCAAAATGCTGACAGGTATCAGTCCAGAGGAACCCAAAAACTGAGGAGATTTTCCTTTCAAATCTGACCAAAGGCTCCCTTCTCGTATTTTCCCTGAGGGGAGCACAATCCACAAATCTGGAAGCTCTGCCAGCTTTGGTAGACACAACTTTCCAAACGCTGCTGGTGCTGTAGAGTTAAACCAAAAGCCCTTTCAGGTGATTTATATGTCTGCTCTGCCTGAGATGTTGTGAAATCCCTGCAGCCTAAGAGAGTCCGTGGGGAACTGGCCCCTGTTGTTGGAACAGAGTCCATTCCAGGAGGCATTTTCATTTTGATTCATTGCCTTTTTCCAGTGTTTTCCTGGAAGATTCTCAGCAGCTCTAATTCTGCCTCGTGTGCTTTGGTGGCAGACACCTCAGGGCCCATCCTGGCACACAATGTGTGCATGTGGCACTCAGCCCTGGTTTGGGCAGTGCCTGAAGGCCACTAACAGAGCTGCAGCTTCTCAGCGAGCTAAGGCATGTCTGTTTGCTCCTTTAGATTTGCTTAGTTTTGGGTCTGAGTCAGCTCTGCCAGGCTCTGTGAGGCAGGAAGAGGTGGCTCCTAAGCAGGTATGGCCCAACCAAGGCTGTGCAAAGACAAGCAAACAGCTTTGCCTTAATGGGATGGGCTGGGCTTTGGTGCCAAAGTGGTTTTAGTGGTTTCTGTGTTGCCCAGTTTTTTCAGGCAGTGAAGGAGCACTGTAAGGAGGGAGTTGGTAGATGCTCAAAGCAATAGCTTTCAGGTGAGCTTCTCCCACAGGTGGAAGGTGACAGTAAGGGACAAAGTATGCAGGTTCATAGGCTACAGCTGAGGTTGTGGGGGAGGAGGGTTGGGATGTTTGATCTGTGTCTTCTGTTACTCCAGCCATCCTAAATGAGGTCAGGGTACAGCTGAATAAATTTAGTATCTCACTAAACCATAGAGAGAAGTTGAGTACTTGCAGGTCCACAGTGAAGACAGACCTGTGTCCACCCTGAGGAGAATGTTTTCATTCCCAGGAGTCTGGTCAGTCATGGGTTTTGCTAATGTCTTGTATGTTTTGAGCTGATTGTTTAATGGTCCAAAGTGTCCCCTTGTTGTTTAGTATCTCTGTATCTCACAGACTTAACTGTTCTTTGGTTGCCTGGGATTGTTTTCGGGTTTTGTCATGTTTGTAAGGGCAGTTTATAAATGAGGAATCCAGTCACAGAAACATGAAGTTCAAGACTGTAGGAGGAGGAGGGGATGAGCCTTCAGCTGGGGTTCCCCAAGTTCATCCTTTTCCCCAGCCTGGCAGGCACCACTGCAGGGCTGATATTTTAGAGTACCCAGGGAACTCAGGAGGGAGAGGAGAGATGCAGAGTAACGTGTCCAGCCCCAGAGCCGGTCACTTCAAACCATGAATAACTCCTGTTTTCCAGGAATCCATTCTAACACTACTAGGGCTTGGGCTGCTCTTTGCCCAAACAGAACACTTATCCCTTTTGGGTTGCAGTGTAGCATTTCTGCCTGCCCTAAATTCACTTAATTTTAACTTAATCGCTCTGTATTCTTTAATGTTTCAGTGAAACTGCCACACTGCTGTCTCAGCAGTAGTAGTGAGGAGTTGAAAGGAGCTAATCATGCTGTGTAGCTCAATGCCTTGTGGTTTATTATTAAGAATAAAGACAAGCACTCCCCTATTTTATCTCTAATGTGCAGTTTACTTAATTCCTAATCCTCTGAAGAGATGCTGTTCTTCCAAACGGCTTGGCTGCTGCCTGGCTTTCAAGCCGCACATGAAACTTAAAAACTGAACTGCTCAGTGCTGAGAGAATTTTAATAAATGCGTGCATAAGTCTGTCTTCATTAGCTGCCCCTTGAACATTCAGGGAGAGAAGTTTTCCTGGTGTGCTTAGTTGGAATTATTGCTTTGCTGTTGTGTAGAACAGCCACTGATTCGAGGTGCTGAGCAAACACACCCACAGACTGAGAGCTGAGTTCTTTAAGTGTTGGGAACTGTCTGAAATACCTGTCCTTCCTCGGCTGCCAGTTCTTTTCTTAGCCTGACTGCTGCCTCCTCCCTGATATTTCCATAGCTCCTGCCTCCTCCCCGTTATTTCCACAGCTCCTGCTAAATCTGGCTGCTGAGTTCACCGAGGACAGGGGGCTGTGGGACGAGTTAACGAGCTTCTGCAAGCAGCTACGTCATTACAGTGATACTTCTCTTTCTTTTCAGTGTATTACAGGGCAAAGGTATTTAGCAAACAGTTTAACAAGCTTCATCTGCAGAATTTTCGCATTGTTGTGTTTTCACTTGTGGAAAAACATGTCTCTGTTCAACCTCTAGAATAAAAACTCCAAAAATTCCATGATGACTTCAGTACTCAGGTTAAGTTTTCAAACTGCACATAGTCAACCAATCCCATGGTTTTAGAGTATTGTTTCCATTGCCCCTCCCTTTTGGGTACATTTAATTTTACATTGCCTTTTGCAATCTTCCTGTTTCACCAATAGCCCCCAGATTCATCTTGCTGCACTCAGCTAATTGGATTAACACATTATATTTATTGTAGGGTATTGATTTGAGAATACCAATCTTCCACTCCTAACTGTAATCTCATATTTTCTCTGCCCTCAAAGCAGCCCTGCTAAATGTCCCTCCTGACCCACCTTTGCACTTGGACTTCATATAAAATCACAGCAGTAATTAACAGCCCTGAAGCCACTGATGCTCTGCCCTGCAGGCTCCTTGATGCCTTCAGGCTGAGGCAGAGGTGTTGGATCTCCCACATCTCCTAATAGCTGCTCCATGCTGACAGAAATGACCTCCCAAAATCTGGGACTTGTGTTTCTGCAAGTGGTTAGTTACCTGGGTGCTTAGCCTTGGTACCTTTGGGGGAGGTCAAATACCTCAAATATTTGCTTGCCTGTGCTCACTCTTCAATGTTCAGACTTCTGGCAAGAGCTCAACATCCCAGTTCTCTGGTGACCTGTGGAAATCTCTGCCTAAGTGTCCTAAAGCATCTAAATCTTCAGCTTTTCATAGAGTCAAGAAATGGTTTCAGTGAGATTCCCTGAAATGAGCAGCTTTTCAGGAACTGTGGCAAAGAGAATCTTTGTGATCCTCCGTGGAAAGCAAAGTGCTTTGCTGTGTGACACTCAGGGTGCAAGTTCAGGACTCTGCAGAGTTTGGAGCTTCACGTCCATCTTTATTTTGACTCCTGAAAAAACACATTCATAATGTAAACTGCATTCTCAGAAAGGCTGGAATTGTGCCCTGCACTGGTCAGGGGTTTTCCTCAGCTTCTCCTCCAGTGAGCTGAGATCTCCTCCAGCCTGAGCTGCCTTTGCTTGTCTTTGGATGCCTCTGAGCGTGGTGAGGCTCCATCAGCCATCCTGCCCCACACTGATCCTTTGCAGGGAGCTGCTTGCCCTTGGGATCCTGGCAGTTCTTCTGTCTCCTCTAAAACAGGACTGCAGCAACGCCTTATTTTGGCAGAGGGGAAATAGGAAGCAAAATGGTCTGCCTTGGTTACAGCATGGTAATAACAACACCAAGGCTGTGGGTTTGATCCCTCTGCAGGTCAGTCATGGAAGAGTTGGACTGGATGATCCTTGTGGGTCCCTTCCAACTCAGAGGATTCTGTGATTCCATGAAACCTGCTGTGCAGTCCAGAGCAGAGGCTAGTGTGCTCACACAGGGGACAGCAGTCTCCAGGTGTAGGCAGCTTCATTTTCTGTCTCACTTTGCAGCTGTCACAGTTTTAAAGAATATTTTCATTTTTCTATGGCAGTTGTAAGACACTTTCATGGTTTGACAGCTTCAATGCCAGGTAACTACTCATCACCCCGATGAATTTCTCTTTCAATATCAACATTTCACTTTTCTGAGATCCAAAGCAAGGAGAGGACAACCATCAGGAACTAACAGGCTGTAAACATGAGGGGTGGGAATGCTGTCACAGGGATACCAAAGGAAGATTTGATTGTGAGGGAGTGGGGTTTTTTGTGCTATTTGACATGACATTGACTGAGAATTTGGTTATGTGCTTCAGAAGCACTGCTGAGAGGGGAGAGGGAAACACAGCAGAAAAATTGCTGGTTGTACCTGCTCAACCTTCGCTATTCCTTGAGAAAATAAACCTTTTTCACTTCTTTCCGTTGTGACAGTTTGTCTCTGACTGAAGTTTTACTTCTATTTATTAACAGATCCTTGTGGGTTCCTTAAAACTGGAGGTATTCTGTGATTCAGTAACATACCACTTGTCTGGTTTTATGAAGTAAATGCTTTGCAAGACAAGCAAGCACATCAGACCATCTCTGCTACCTGGATTTTGGGTGGAAAGGTCAGTCAGGTGTTTCTGAATTGTGCAGAAACAGGCTTGCTATGGCCTGGCAGCATCCACATCACAAGACAGGAAGAAGTCTCTGCTGAACAGGTTGCTGTGCAGTGGAGAAATTGGTTTTAAAAAACAGGGCTTG